CGGGAGGTGGAGCGACGCGCGAGATACTATGTTTATGTTTCGGGTCGCCCGTCGCTCGCGCTCGCTGCCGCGCTCGCCGCCCGCGCCGCGCTCCCCGCCGCGCCTAGGTTTTTTCCCACCACGGTGTATGTCCGAGTCCGGCCTACTGTCTCCTGCATCCTCATTCGCTCAAACGTGTAAATTTATTACTCGATATCTATTGTTATTTTGTACCGCGGTACATGATATTTCTCTTTAGTTTAACCCAATCTACCACTATTTTCAAGGTGGCTACTTTTGCATCAGACACCCTGTATAATTAGAAAAAAGTAAAGTAAAGTAAAGTGTGCAAATTAGAAATTTGCACATGGCTTCCTCATAGAGGAAGATTTAGGAGCGAAATCTAATTTTTTTCGATGTTTCTTGAAAGTGTGCAAATTGGAAATTTGCACATTTCTTCCTCATCATTAAAGTAGGCAAATTAGAAATTTACACATTGCTTCCATTGTTATGGCTTCCTCATAGAGGAAGCTTTAAGAGAGAAATCTAACTTTACTACGATGTTTCTTGAAAGTATTCAAATTATTCTTATTTCGCTCTTAAAGCTTCCTCTATGAGGAAGCCATAACAATGGAAGCAATGTGCAAATTTCTAATTAGAAAAAAGTAAAGTAAATTAAAGTGTGCAAATTAGAAATTTGCACATTGCTTCCTCATCATTAAAGTAGGCAAATTATTTTAATTTTAATTAAATAACTGATTTGTTAACACCTTTTCTTGTTAGTTCTAAAAATAAAGCAATGGATGAAACTAAAAATTGAAATTTTCTTTTCTTTCACATTCATCGACACAAATTTTTAATAAGAAACTATACCTAAATAATTTCAAAAATTTCCACTCTTTACCGTCTTCCCTCAAATTTGTTCCTAATAATATCATAATCATTAGGAATAAAAATATTTAATAACGTATCTTTTGATAACGTTATTCATAAAAAAAGGATCAACTATGTTTATTAAAAGAGCAAACTCAATTCCTCAAAAAAATTATGTTCAAATTCTTTAAGAAGCTACAATAAATCAATTAATCCAATTCATATCTGAAAATGTATAAAGAGGCAGCAGATCGTATAAGTGCAATCGATCCTTTTGGGATTCTCTCTCGTAATAACAAAGTAAGTATACGAATTCGCAATGTATTTTTATAGTGATCTGTTACGTTCAGCATAGCTAATCTTACGTGCCGAAGTGCTGTTCCTCTTTCTTCTCTCATTCACTCAAGAGGGCACTCTGACGTCCCAGATTTGCAATGCCGAACGCAGCTCTTGTCCGACTCAAAAAATTATCTAAGTATATGGGACATCTAGTACTGTGTGGGTGCATCCGGGCCCTACTCATAATACAGGCCTTTCCTCTATGGTCCACACGAGAAAAATTGATGTAAACATATCATGCAGACTTTTTATGTTGACGTAACTTTGAAATTGACGGCACAATCCTGGAAAATAGGCGTAGCATAGATACGCACAAAGTGGAGGCTTTGAGTGCATTCCGTTTTACGCATGATGCACATAATGCATTATTTATTCTTGTTATTTACCCGATGTGAAATAAAGATAAATGATGCGTTGTGCATATCATGCGTGAAATGGAACGCACCTTTTATCGGCAGTGTCAGAAAATATGTAGCGAAGTAGTTCCAAAAGTAAAAATGGGCGTAAGGGGCGCGCAAAACAGTTTCGTGAAACATATCAACTTAACAAGTAAAACACCGGCATAGCCGCTTTCAGGGTTCTCTCTGATATTACGAATTATATCTACGTTATACCTACGCGCACGCACCTACGTATTCTTTGTGCAAATCGAGAGCTTACACACTTTTATTGAAGAAAAAAGAATATTTAATAATATTTACCGCAAATATTAATAGTTCCTGTCCAGACACCATTTAGGGTTATAGTTTGGCAGCGTACGCTGATAAAGAATGAAATCCACAACACCGAAATAAAGAACTTCATTTTGGCGGATGGCACATACATTGCAGTACGACGTGACAACTGCCTGAAATTAAAGATCGCAATCAATTAATCCGATGAAGATCCTTTCCCAATGTGCGCGTGCTCGCTCGCTACTTGTCGCATTTCGCGTAAAACCGTACAGATTTCCAATAAAAAACAGAGGTAAGAGCAAACGTGGTGGCTTATTTAAGAAGTAGCTAATTACTATCTAATCTACGAATGCAACGTTTTCCAATCGGAGTTTGATTATCATTTTAGATTAAAACAAACCCAGATAACAATTCGTGCGGGCTCATGTTACCTTCACGGCGTGATTATCACACAGTGCATGCACGAACGCATCATGCTCGCATCACGAAGTGATTTTGGTATACATGCGCACATAGAAGATCGTACTATGCCATCACGTGTGATTACACGTGTGATGGTACAGTGCACGGTCTTACATACAGGTCCTGCATCTCATATGGTGGGGGTAAGTCGAATTTTTAAGCCAAAAATCGTTTGTCTCTTGGCCACGAGAGTCGCTGCGGTACTATAGCAGCGGTAGTAGGACAGAGACACAGATATAGAAACCGTGATTTCTATATCTGTGTCTCTGTCCTACTACCGCTGCTAACAGTACCGCAGCGACTCTCGTGGCCAAGAGACAAACGATTTTTGGCTTAAAAATTCAACCTACCCCCACCATATGAGATGCAGGACCTGTATGTAAGACCGTGGTACAGTGATTACGCACACGTGATGGCATAGTGTAAAGGTGCCTTTTCATACGCAGCATGCAGCAGCAGCAAATTAGTCACGTGATCCAAATTCACTAAAGCATATTTGCTGCTCATGGAAAAGGAATAGCTGCAGCAGCACTGGCCGGCTAGATCGCGTGTCTGCTGCTTTGCTGTTCGTTCAATTGAACTTCACAGCGATGAAGCAAAATATGGTGAAATTTATTTTGCAGCATCTAGTAACAATTCTTCAACCAATAGCAGCGAGTTGCTGCGGCAGTATGCTGCGCATGAAATGGTACCTTTACGCATATGTGATAGCATAATGAACACACACGTGATGGCATAGTGTGATCTTTTATGATACAATATACGATCAACATTTGAAATGGTTTCAACAAGTTTCCAATAACTTTCATTTCACTTTTCATCAATTTCATTACATTTTCAGCAAAATTTTTCCATCAGGGTATCCCTGATAATATCAAAATAAATCATAAGTTTCGTTATGAAATTAAATGAAATACTGTGAAATTAGATGAAAGTTAATTAACCC